CCTCATCTTTGTCGCCATAATTATTACAACGTTTCGGCCCTTCAGTATCTGTCTATATTTCTGAGATGAGGTATTATGTACATTATTTACATTATTCGGACTATTGTCCTCATCTTTGTCGCCATATTTATTACAACGTTTCGGCCCTTCAGTATCTGTCTATATTTCTGAGATGAGGTATTATGTACATTATTTACATTATTCGGACTATTGTCCTCATCTTTGTCGCCATATTTATTACAACGTTTCGGCCCTTCAGTATCTGTCTATATTTCTGAGATGAGGTATTCTGTACATTATTTACATTATTCGGACTATTGTCCTCATCTTTGTCGCCATATTTATTACAACGTTTCGGCCCTTCAGTATCTGTCTATATTTCTGAGATGAGGTATTATGTACATTATTTACATTATTCGGACTATTGTCCTCATCTTTGTCGCCATATTTATTACAACGTTTCGGCCCTTCAGTATCTGTCTATATTTCTGAGATGAGGTATTATGTACATTATTTACATTATTCGGACTATTGTCCTCATCTTTGTCGCCATATTTATTACAACGTTTCGGCCCTTCAGTATCTGTCTATATTTCTGAGATGAGGTATTCTGTACATTATTTACATTATTCGGACTATTGTCCTCATCTTTGTCGCCATATTTATTACAACGTTTCGGCCCTTCAGTATCTGTCTATATTTCTGAGATGAGGTATTATGTACATTATTTACATTATTCGGATTATTGTCCTCATCTTTGTCGCCATATTTATTACAACGTTTCGGCCCTTCAATATCTGTCTATATTTCTGAGATGAGGTATTATGTACACTATTTACATTATTCGGACTATTGTCCTCATCTTTGTCGCCATAATTATTACAACGTTTCGGCCCTTCAGTATCTGTCTATATTTCTGAGATGAGGTATTATGTACATTATTTACATTATTCGGTCTATTGTCTTCATCTTTGTCGCCATATTTATTACAACGTTTCGGCCCTTCAGTATCTGTCTATATTTCTGAGATGAGGTATTATGTACACTATTTACATTATTCGGACTATTGTCCTCATCTTTGTCGCCATAATTATTACAACGTTTCGGCCCTTCAGTATCTGTCTATATTTCTGAGATGAGGTATTATGTACATTATTTACATTATTCGGACTATTGTCCTCATCTTTGACGCCATATTTATTACAACGTTTCGGCCCTTCAGTATCTGTCTATATTTCTGAGATGAGGTATTATGTACACTATTTACATTATTCGGACTATTGTCCTCATCTTTGTCGCCATAATTATTACAACGTTTCGGCCCTTCAGTATCTGTCTATATTTCTGAGATGAGGTATTATGTACACTATTTACATTATTCGGACTATTGTCCTCATCTTTGTCGCCATATTTATTACAACGTTTCGGCCCTTCAGTATCTGTCTATATTTCTGAGATGAGGTATTATGTACATTATTTACATTATTCGGACTATTGTCCTCATCTTTGTCGCCATATTTATTACAACGTTTCGGCCCTTCAGTATCTGTCTATATTTCTGAGATGAGGTATTATGTACATTATTTACATTATTCGGACTATTGTCCTCATCTTTGTCGCCATATTTATTACAACGTTTCGGCCCTTCAGTATCTGTCTATATTTCTGAGATGAGGTATTATGTACACTATTTACATTATTCGGACTATTGTCCTCATCTTTGTCGCCATAATTATTACAACGTTTCGGCCCTTCAGTATCTGTCTATATTTCTGAGATGAGGTATTATGTACACTATTTACATTATTCGGACTATTGTCCTCATCTTTGTCGCCATATTTATTACAACGTTTCGGCCCTTCAGTATCTGTCTATATTTCTGAGATGAGGTATTATGTACATTATTTACATTATTCGGACTATTGTCCTCATCTTTGTCGCCATATTTATTACAACGTTTCGGCCCTTCAGTATCTGTCTATATTTCTGAGATGAGGTATTATGTACATTATTTACATTATTCGGACTATTGTCCTCATCTTTGTCACCATATTTAATACAACGTTTCAGCCCTTCAGTATCTGTTTATATATCTGAGATGAGGTATTATGTACATTATTTACATTATTCGGACTATTGTTCTCATCTTTATCGCCATATTTATTACCGCGTTTCGGCCGTTGTTCGCTCCGGCCTTCTTCAGGTGGTTGGAATGACAGATACTGAAGGAACAGCCACATTGATTAGGAGGCTTTTGGAGGTGCCGTGTCGTTCTTAATGCGAATGGTCGGTTTGGATAGTTTAAATTTTTTGCACATGCGTACTTTCGAAAGTTGCTTGGCAACTAATGTAGCAACATTCGAAAGTACTCGGAAAAATAATGGAAAATAAAAAATATGAACTTTGTTAAAATACTTTAAAAAAAAGTACGAGCAATACAAACAGCTATACATTCTTTGGAAAAAATATGACCAGCTCTAGATTTCTTCAATGAAAAATATTCCCAGAAATAGTTTTTTGAAGAAAAATATTACCAGCAATAAAAAAATATTGTCGGCATTAAATAACCCACTAAGATTGATATGCCGTAAAACAAACCAAACCAAACTAAATCTATGGGTTATTTAATGTCGAAATATAAGTATTATGAACAATTTTATGGCTTCAAATAAATATATTCTGAAGGCAATTTTATGCCGTCAACTACAGATAAATTGTATTGTTGGTAATTTTACTATAAATATAATTTCTTTTTTAATATAAAAATGAACTGCTGGTATTTTTACTATAAAAATGTATTTTTCAACTTTCATATTAGGTTGGTGCAAAAATAATGACGTAATAATGTCGTTTTTGACGTATTTCTTTAACGTCAAAAACGACATTATTACGTCATTATTTTTGCACCAACCTAATAGTTTTTTTTAATTTTGTTTGGAGGTTCACTATTCAAAAGACGACATTCAGTCTGTTGTTAACTGGAGCAAAGGATGGCCTGTTAATTTTAACACTTCCAAAACTGAACTGCTCTTTGTTAATCATCCGAGAGTCCCCTTTCAATGTGGAACCGAATCGAGAGTGTATGCCTCCCTGATTGCACCACTTTTAATCTCTTGAAGCCGAGGATCAACCTGAATTTATTCGACATATTTTCTTAGCATTTAGCTCTTGTCCCTTACTTAAGGCCCCTTACAACATCACGGTTCAGTAAACGTAGAGTTTGAGGGATAATTGGGTCGGGATTTGAGTGAACAATTGAAAAAAAAATAGCCAGAAAGATAAAGAAGAAGTGGGTAAATATAGAGGGGAAAAAAGGAGGTGGAAAGAAAATCAGATAAAAGTAAGTCGGGGTGGGTGGGGGCAAAGAAAGGAAGACAGACAGAGGAGGAAAGATGAAAGACACAAAGGCGATAGAAAAGTGTGAAGGAAGAAGAAAGTGATTAGGAATACGAAAAGAAGGAAGAAAGATTGCAGATGAAAAGATACGAAAAGCGTAAAAGAATTAACGAAAGTGGTGTAAAGAAATAAAAAAAAAAGAAAAAAAAAAGAAGCCTCGCGTAAAAAGTGAAAAACAAAAAAAGAACAAAGAACGAAAAAAAATGGCGGAAATAGGCGAGGCAAAAAATATAAAGAAATTATAAAATAAAACTAACCGGCAAAGTCTTGCAAATAATAAAAAAAATGGACCAAATGTAATTCAATTCAATGAAAGTTTGATTCCGAAAGAATCGTAAACGGAAACAAAGAAAAGTGATTTACATTATACGAATGTTTTATCGATAAAAATGAGATTTGAAAAGGAACCGAAATGAGCAAAGAACACAAACATAGTCACTGTAAGACGCTGTTAGCCTCCTCCTTGATTTTTGCCATGCTTGGCTAAGAAGGACACAAGGCCATAAATTCGAGGCGCCTTGTTAACATCCTATTATAATTGGGCTTGCCCTTCCCTTTGTTAATTCGCATAATCGTTACGTCCTGTCAATACCTCATAAATAATGGACTTTTCCGTTTTGATTTCGTGGAAAGAGGCGGGAAGAAACTCGTTGGTTTCTATGACAAAACGAAAGAAGGAAACAAATAAATAAATGAATAAGTAAATAAATAAATAAATAAATGAATAAGTAAATAAATAAATAAATAAAGAAAGAAAGAAACAAAGAAACAAAGGAAAAATGAAGATAGAAGTGTTTAACGTTTGCCAATACTTCATGATCGCGTGGAAAAGGAAACCCATATCAAAGAGACGATTTGGTTTTACTGAGAAAATGAAAGAAAGAAAGAAAAAAAGAAAGAAAGACAGACGTGCTTAACGTATCCTGCCTTCTTTTTATGTGCCATGTCCTTTCAGGACGTAGGTGATCATGGCTCTCCACCTCCTTCTATCCCTTGAAGCTCTCGACAAGTCCTTTCCCTCTGCTTCCTCCCTCAGACCACGTTCTGTCATCCACTTGCCTAAGTCCGCTAGGTATGTCATGCGTTGTTTTCCTTTATCTCGCTTTCCCTCTATCTGTCCTGTGAGTATCAGATTCTCCAGGCCCTCCTTCCTCATTAAGTGCTCCAGGAACTTCATCTGCCTCTTCTTGTTTGCAAAACTCACTAAGACCTCATCGTTGCTCAAACGCTCTCCATGATATCCTTAGCATCCTTCTGTAGAACCTCGAGTCTCTTCTTCATCTTTGAGAAAATCGTCCAACATTCGCTGCCATAATGAAGGACAGATGTCACGTAGCAGCTGAGTATTTTTTCTACGTTACCAATACTCTGACTCCTGACTCGCAATACTCTGCCCACCTTTTGGAATTCGTCTTTGGCCATCCTAATACATCTTCGGATCTCAGCATTCTACCTAATTCTGTTACTATCTAATTCTGTTCATATCTATCTATCTATCTATCTATCTATCTATCTATCTATCTATCTATCTATCTATCTATCTATCCTGTTTGTCGCTTTTTTCTTTCTTTCTTTGTTTTTTTTCTTTCTCTCAAAATCTGTGCATGTCTATCTGCCATAATATCCATCTCGTTCTGCGTTTATATCTATCTATCTATCTATCTATCTATCTATCTATCTATCTATCTATCCCCATTGTTTTCAACATCTATCTATCTATCCTGTTTATCGCTTTTTTCTTTCTTTCTTTGTTTTTTCTGTCTCTCAAAATCTGTGCATGTCTATCTGCCATAATATCCATCTCGTTCTGCTTTAAACTCTCTCTTTCTCTCTCTCTCTCTCTCTATCTAATTCTGTTCATATCTATCTATCTATCTATCTATCTATCTATCTATCTATCTATCCTCATTGTTTTCAACATCTATCTATCTATCTATCTATCTATCTATCTATCTATCTATTTTGGATACAATACTCTGGCGCTATTCACCTATTTCGGCAGGTACTCCCCACGCATCACCGGAAGCATGTCACAATTCGAGCCGTTTCCGAAATGCTCTGACCTCGTCTTGTGGCCTTTGTCAAAGCCACTGAAATCTGCCATCTTGACTGTCGCTGCAGTATTATACAAAACCAAGTACCCAAGGCAGGGTTACCAGCTTGTATATCACAGCCAGTGGCATGCATAATACCACTCAAAAGTGAGGGGCATCATTTATAAATGGAAAGGTACCTGTTCGATTTACTTTTAATCAAAGTCTTGCTCCCCGAAACTAGAAACAGAAGGAAGTATCTATCTATCTATCTATCTATCTATCTATCTATCTATCTATCTATCTATCTATCTGCCATGGGTCCTTACCTATAACTACAGAATGAACACTTTCTAACACTATGTATACTACGCCTCTAAAGAGAGAGGGTCGAATCGAATCGAGCTTATAGTAGTTCACTCCAAACCAGACTGACAGTCATACTAACACCTTCCATAGCTTGTATTATTTTTTCGTGTAATTCATTATTTCTACACTTGTGTTCGTGTTGTTTTTCCTTGGTCCTAACATAGACCATAACACTAAGTCACTTTAATATCTATCTATCTATCTATCTATCTATCTATCTATCTATCTATCTCATTCTCTTCAGTATCTATCTATGATTTTACGATAGATATGTTTCTATAATTTTATATATCAACAAGCAGTATTAAGAAAAACAGTATGACCAATTGGAAACAAAAGTTTTTGTAACGTTTTATCAGACTGGCTTTTGTTGATGCTGCCCGAAACGAGAGATGCTGGTAGTTTCAAAACTTTTAAAATAATATTTTTCAAAGATTATTTTTTCAGTCTAGCCAAATTCATGTGTATTCTTTTACTTTTTCTTTTAATCTCCATCACCTTTGTCTCTGACTGTCGCATACTGTGGCAACAGGAAATCTGCCCTGAATGGTGGTACATTGTAAGAGCCTGGACGCAAATTTACCGTGGCTAAACTAGCAATCAAGGCATTTTTCTATCTATCTATCTATCTATCTATCTATCTATCTATCTATCTATCTATCTATCTATCTATCTATCTCCCTTGTCTCTCTTTCGCTCTATTTAACCTATGAGTATCAAATTCTCCAGACCTTCCTTCCTCATTATGCGTCCCAGGAACTTCAGCTGCCTCTTCCTGATGTTAAGTATAAGCCTCTTCTTTGTTGCAGCCTCTCTAAGATCTCATCGTTACTGAGTGTGAAAAAAAAAGAAAAGAAAATCATTATTAAGAATTTGGTTGGTTGAATTTGTTTAGCGGCATATCAACACCTCTATGGGTTATCTAATGTCGAAATCGAAATAATCTGAACACAATTTTATTGCTTCAACTAAATATATTTTGAACGGAATTGTATGTCTTCAAATATAAATAACAATGTATTGTTGGTCATTTTGTTTTAAAAAAACGTGTATTTTTTGTCATTAACTTAGATATAAAGATGGAATTTTAAGTATAAAAATGTAATGTTAAACTTTCATAGTATTTTGTTTTTGTTTGGGGTTTGCCCAAAGCCGAGATCCTAACAGGTGCTACCACGCCCATTATCAAGGAGCGAGAACAATACAAGAGTAATGGAGAAGACAATCCTCTGATTTTCTCTCATTCATTCATAATGCGTATTCAAATGTAAACAAATGACGTTATACATTATGAAATGGACAAAATCCGGCAATTATTTAAGGCATTTTTATGTTCATACATTCTTTTTATAGATACAAATATTTAAATAAATGCTCTGTTTATAATAAACTGTATTAATAACATTTACCGGCCTTAATGTCCGAGAAATTTCCATAGAAAATATTCGTCATCCGACAGGAATCGAACCTGTATCCTATACGGAACCGTCATATAGCCTGACGTGCTTTTAACCGATTTGGCCACAGAGGGGCGTTTGGTTAGCAAGCTCGATTTTACTGCTTTTAAACCCAATTCTCCATAAATCGGTTAATGTACGTGAGGCTATATGTATACATCATACAATTGGATTAAGATACCATTTTATAAATTATCATTTTCACCTTGTAAAATTACATTTACAGGATTTTTAAAACAGTCAATGGATGATAAATTTTTGTAAAAAAACACAAACGCGAGCAAAGAAAGAAAGGAAGAAAAACATGGGATAAAAGAAGATGAAGAATAAAAAAAGATTACTACCTGCATATATATATATATATATATATATATATATATATATATATATATATATATATATATATATTTAAAGATATTTTTGTAGGTACAAAATTTAATAATCGAAATAAAAGTATGAAACTTAATATTACGAGAAATATTAAAAACGGGCGAAGCAACCAGTTTCGCTCCACTCTTCAGGCTTCAACGGGAGATTTAATTTAAAATTAAACACAGAAAAATGTACAATAAAAAGAAAGTTGTGGGAGGAGAAAAAAAGCGAACCCCAACAAACACTCACGTTGTTTACACAAAGAAGGCTCCCACAACTTGTATATATATATATATATATATATATATATATATATATATATATATATATATATATGTATATATATTCTCTCAACGGTCGCTTTTAATCCGCACCTGAGGATTGTCTCGTGCATGAATCTCAGAGTTGTACCTAAAAGTGAGGGACAAAGTTTATTTTTATTACTCACACACACACACACACACACATATATATATATATATATGTAAAGTGAACAATGAACTCAAAACTCAGGCTGTTTTTCATGGTAGAGGCCATCGTCTATTTACATACTCTCCATCTCTGATAATGAGTATTTTATCCCATCAATATAGCACATCTTAAAACATCTTATATTTCTTCATCCTTATATATATATATATATATATAAATCGTCATCCACACACACACACACACACATATATATATATATATATATATATATATATATATATATATATATATATATATAATAATAATAATAAATTAACCGTTTTAAAAAATATGGTTCTTTCGTTACACAGGAATTACCATGATTCAAAAAACAGAAATTAACAACTCCAAATTCAATTATTTAAATTAAATTAAAAGCACTAGTTTTGTTTCATTTTCAAGCGAATTTTGGAATAACTTATTTTTAAATTTACTGAGTTTTAAAAGCACATACATTCATAATTGTTTGTTTCTAAGGATACAGAGAAATCCAATCATTTAGACAGGGGCGGCAGCGTGTTCATTTTTATTAACAACTATTGTATTAAATATGAGTTACTCTCGAAAAGAGGTTAAGTCTAGGTAGGTTAGTGGTGTATTTTCCACTGAATCGACGCATGTCTGTTCTTTTTTTGTTTTTTTTAACGATAAAAAAATATGCTTTGTAAATTTTACATTGAGCACTGTTTTGTGAAAATAAAAATATCTATAAGAACACCGGATTATATATCTTACTGTTCTTTCTTTCTTTCTTTCTATATATATATATATATAGTCTTAAGATATAATAAATATAGTCTTAAGATGTGCTATATTTATGGGATAAAGTGCTCGATATCAGAGATAGAGCGTGTGTAAATATAAAAGTGAACATAGAAGTCAACACTTAGGGGTGACAGTCTGTTGCATGCTAGATGCAATCGTCAGGCCTGAGGATTGCGTCTCACATGAAACAGACTGTCGCCTCTAAGTGTTGACTTATGGTCACTTTATATATATATATATATATATATATATATATATATATATATATATATATACATGAATCATTCATACAAAAACAAATATAGAGTTAATGATTTAAATGGCTATATATATATATATATATATATATATATATATATAAAAAAAAATAAAAGGAGTTTTGGTGGAATAATGGGTAGCGGCTTGGATTGAGGAATCGAAGGGCAGAGTTCAAATTCCAGTCGAATCCATTACATCCACTTACATGGGATACCTTAGGAAAGGTATGAATCCCCCTGTTCTTGAAGAGCAAGTAGATACCATCGACAGGACATGTGAGTAATAATGAAGTTTTAAGAAAAACGGAAAGACAAAAGACCCATGTAAAATAATAAATTTGCATTTTCTTTTTTACCCTAAACTAAACTAATAATTGCATAACAATAGTTATAGTTAAACCTATGCGTACCTTTTTAAATTTAGTGTAAACCGAACCTGCGTATACATTTTTGCCTCGTGCAAATCGGACGTTGTCAGCAATTTTTTCCCTCTAGTGTAAACAGAAGATTTTCTGCCTTTTCTGCATAGAAAGGGAAGGAGGATAGGTAGAGTAGCAATGTTTTAAGATGCATTTAAATTGACTAACATTTAACACCAATTTGCCACTTACCATTTCTGGTTATCCCCCTTACATTGGGAACGCTTGTTTACAAAACATCGTAACCACAACAATTAGCGCAAAGCGATTTCGCGCGTGTTTGCAACAATCACCATCACGACGCTTACAGTTACATTAAGTTTGTCTTCGTAATTTACCTGCGAGGATGATCCCGGAGGAGATCGAAAATAATTGGGTTAACAGAAAAAGATGTATGTATGTATAGCTGAACTCTCATATTCGAGGATACCCGTCTACTAGGGCGGCTCGGCAATCCCTATTGCAGGCGCTTGCTCAGGAGCATTTGTGTTTATTCAACATCCACAGAACCCGCCTGTGATTTATACTGCAACTATGCTCAGCAGACCTTAGTTACAGTTTCTGGGAGAGAGCGTGTTATCTTTTGAACAAACACATTAAAACACTCAAGCTCTCGGCCACGATGACTTGTGACTTCGCGCTAGCACAGCTATCGACAGCACCGAAGGGTTCCGTATACCCAATTTTAAGCACAAGGCTTGGGGTATTATTATCAGGTACTTTCCAATTGTGCCGTACGCTTGGATCGGCCCCCCTCCCCAGTCTCCATCCTGACAAGTCGACCATGGTGAGATTCGAATCTCGGGTCTCATGGTCAGAATGCAAACATTCTAACCACTCGACCACGTGGCCAAAACTTTTAGAAAAAGATATATGAAAGTTATTGGACATTAAACGAGGCTTGGAGAATTTGACACTCACAGGGCCCACTGCTGGCAGGAGGAAAATAGTAAATAACTTATTTAATGAGTTTTTGTGAACGGGTTGCAGAACGAGAACAAAGAGAGATGGTGAAGAGTCGAACGCTGCTTAGGTGTACGAGGTTCAGGATGATGTAGAGAGCCATGATCAAACATGATATGACGGAACACAGCACATAAATGAAGGTTCGGAGCTGAACTAAAGACCCAGTTACCTATTTGATAACAGTTAAAAATAATAATAATAAAAAAAAAAACAGGGGAAAATTTTTATCGTGTAATTACCAGCGTTTCAACTTTCGGGGATTTTTTTTTTCAGAGATGTTAGAAGATTACCAATCACGCTAAGAAGCTACATAGAAAACCCCGTATTTTGCTAAACCAATTAGGAGAGAAAAACTCCTTTGATGTTTATTCTTAAATGCTTATTCCATTGACAGTTCTTTTTTGACAGTTTACATGTATAGACGAGAATATATATGAGATAAACTTTATTTTTTGACTACAAGAGTTTATAACACAAGGAAACACGTATGCAAATCTATATGTCTACCTACCAATAACTTTATATATATATATATATATATATATATATATATATATATATATATATATATATACACGTATAGGATTGCTATATACGCAGTAAATTCCAATAACCAGCAAATACTATTCTTAAAAGCGTGCTCAATACAGAGTAGAGCAAATATAATTATTTATTCGAAAATTATAACATAAATATGTTATAAAATCACTACAAAAATAGCCATCTTGTTTCAACACCCTCAGTGTCTTATCAAGTGATAGTGTTGAATATAGAATTATATATATATATATATATATATATATATATATATATATATATGTGTGTGTGTGTGTGTGTGTGTGTGTGTGTGTGTGTGTGTGTGTGTGTGTGAAAATAGGAAAGAACCGATAGGTTAATAATCCAAAGTTCTTTAGTATTTTTTGTTTTTATTTAAAAAAACAAACAAAACAAAACAAAACATAAAAACAGTGCTCAATACGTAAGTAGAGCCTAAATTATAATTTTTTTTTCCAAAAATATGATTCCATCGCTACATAAGTGTTGTCGTGTTTCAAAAATAGAAGCTAAAAAAACGGCTCTATTTCATCCAAAATTCGCACGAGGATGAAATAGAGCTGTTTTTTTAGCTTCTGTTTTTGAAACATGAGAACTTTATGTAGTGATGGAATCATATTTTAAAAATAATAATAATAATAATAATAATAATATATATATATATATATTTATATATATATATATATATATATATATATATATATATATATATGAAAATACAGGAAAATACTTGTTGACAACACCAGTATACTACAACATAAAAATAATAAACAAAACCTTCTCGAGACCCTCTATATCAAAACCAACCAACACTGAAGAAAACTTATTATGAGTACAGTAGCCATGTTTTAAAATGCCGTTGAGTTGCCATTTAACACAATTTCAATAAAACTTTAAAAGATTTACTTCTTTCTAATCCTTTTTACAAATTATTTTTATCGCAAATACAAATAAAGTTATAATTTTTTTTAAAGTGCACACGAACTTTATGGACACCTTGCATTTATACACAAGAGCAAAATTTTTTTTTTTTTTTCAAATTTAAAAACGGTCACATATATTCTTCAGGTTAGCTGAAAAGTCAGACAAGCTATGGAAGACACGAAGTGAAACAATTCAATGTCTATTAAATGAAATTTCTTTTTTGGTTTTATTCATATTTCCTATCTGAAATTTTTACACAAACTTTGTTATGTATAAACTTTTGCATGTCATGATATTCGCCAATGTGGAGCATTTGGTTTGATGTTAATATTAAAGTGTATTATACAGGGAACAGGTTGATAGAAAGCTTGTAAAAGCATGTATTGCAATCTACTAGCATTCTTAATGGACTTTTATGTATTACCATTTGACAGTTTGCATAATGAAAAAGACAACGAAACAAGGAATAAATAAAAGGCATTGTCTGAAGAAAGAGAGAGAGAGAGAGAATCGGAGAGAAGAAATGGCTGAGAGTCCATTATTTTTCCATTTAGAAGTTAGGGATACATTTTTCTGTTTGATTTCTGAGGATAATGATGCTAGGTGGAAGAGAAAGGTCTAAAAGGAATTAGAGGGAAGGTTTAGGAGTCGGGTAAAAAACAGAGGGAAAGAGAGGGGGGTATTGAGAATTCGTTTTTGATTTTGTCTCAAAGGAGAGACTTCTGTATAGATGCATATCAACGCTTTTCAAAAGTAGGAAAATGGAAGGAGAAAACAAAGGAGAAAAATGGTAAAATGACAAGCGAAAATGAAAAATGGAATAAAAAAGAAGAAGAAGAAAAATAAGAGGGGAATAGAAATAGATAAAGTGAGAGAGAAAAAGGAAAAGAGAAAGTAAGAATGAATAAAGGAAAATAGAAAGAAAAGGTAAGGGAGAATATAGGGAAAAAAATGGAAAGAAACAGTAAGAGAGATAAAGGGAAAATAGAAAGAGAAAAGAAAAAACGGGGAAGAGAAAAAGAGAGATAGAGAAAGAGAGAGAAAGAGAGAGAGAGAGTGAGAGAGAAAAGGAAACATAGAAAAACAAACTGTTATGGGACCTTACCCATAATAATATAATGGACTATTCCATACGTAATAAATACTGCGCCTCAAGAGGAAGCAGAGAGTTCAGTCCGAAGTCGGTCGACCGGCTGATCGGCTGATCGGTTGAACTCTCTGCCTTCGGGCGAGGAGGAACCCGAACGAGACTACGCCGAAGGGCGGAGTCTCTTTCAGGGATGCAAACCGACCCTGAACCCGTTTATACGGGTTCAAAGGGCATATTTTTGGCCGAGCCCACGGGCTCGGAGATCCCACATTAAACCGGCCTTGTGCCACATGATGCCCTCGTGGGGGGGGTGACTAAATACTGTTCAGTCTGATGTCTGGAGTGAAGTCCGTCAGGAGTCAGTCAGTCAGAGCGAGTCAGTCAGTCGAGTCAAGAGTCGAGTCAGAGGCAGTCCGAAACAGAGTCGCGTTCAGACAATTACTACAAGACATTGGAATAGTGATACTGGTCGAGACTACATTGTTCTCCCTACTAAACCTGATTGTTTGTACTAACACTTCTTCTTCTCTGTATATATTCCTGTTTGTAATATATCTGTGTTATTCCATATCCGTGTTCGAGTTCTTCTTTATTTGTTCTACCTTGGACTATATAAAATATTTAGATTTCGCCGTTAAATAACCCATAGAGGTGTTGATATGCCGCAAAACTGAAACAACCAAGCAACGAACTTTCAGTTACCCATTTTGATTTTAATTTCTATATCGTATTAAGCTAGAATTGATATTCCGTAGCAGTTCAGCATTGGCGAAATTTTATCGCCAACTACCATCTTTAAAATCGTTGACCTCAACATTAGCGAATTATAAAAGAAAAATATACTGTAAGACAATGCATGTAACTTAGCAGGAAACGTATTTGTCATTTGAAACGCTGAAAAAAACAATTTCATTTGTTTATGATTTGCTTTTCCACGAATTCGCTTTGGGGCTAGACTTAGTTAAGCCGTAGAAGAACGGAAGTTAACAAGCCTTGTTTATTATTTTCTACGTGGAAGCATGACATTTGAAATGGAAAAGATATTTTTTTAAAATATAGATAAAGAGAGAGAGAGAGAGAGAGAGAGAGAGAGAGAGAGAAGTCTCTGAAGTATATTTTTTTTTATTTTCCAAATTATATTCTCTATATCGGTGGCACCCCAAGGAATTTCCATGGTTCTTTTGAATATAAGGTTCCTGCCAGCGCTAATGTAATATTGCTTTCAGTATTACAACAAGAACTAAACCGAAAGAAAAAAAAAAAAAACAAGTTGTAAATGTCACAGAATGAAGAAAAGCGATTTGGTTTGCTCGAAGCTTTTTCAGAATATTACTCAAAGCTGACAGAAATAATAATAATAATAATAATAATAATAATATGGAGATAGGACCTGTTACAATTCTATGGGACTACACAATACACACTGACAGAATAATCAAAGCCAACCGCCCAGATATTGTTATTAAACACCACAAGCAAAAAAGTGCCTCCTTATTGATATGGCAGTCCCTGCTGACTGCAATGTATCTTTGAATTTATTCAAAAAGCTGTCAAAATACAAGGACCTTGATATAGAAATCTCGAAAATGTGGCAAATGGGAACATCAACAATCCCTACTGGAGTTGGAGTCCTAGGACTGGTTGGAAAAGATTGCAGTAGACTAATTGAAGGGATTCCTGGAAGTCCATGCCTCAAGGAGATACAAAAAATTGTTCTCACAAGTACAGGCCACACTTTACGAAGGGCATTATCTATGTATTTTTTTTTTTTTGTCAGTGGAAAGTGTCATGATGCCATTTCTAACCTTAGATCCCTGGGCGGGACCCGGAAAGAAATGTGTAAACGCCAGAAATCAAAGAAAATAATAATAATAATAATATTCAGGACCCATCGTCGTCGACATAGAAACAAGAAAATACTTCTTTGGAGCAACCGTAATAACAAGATCAAAAGTATTGCCACGCTTTAAATACACATACTTCCGATTGACAGAAGGTAGGACGCTCAAACCATATGATTTAGTAATAAAAGTCTTACTAATTAACCAATAGCTAGGAGGGAGGAAATGGATTCATACCATTCCCAAAGGTATTTGCGTGTAAGTGAACATAAAGAAGCCAACTGGAATTGGAACTCGGCTCCCTGATTAACAATTCCGTGCTATTATCTATTGCACCATCCGCAAATCCAAGCTCACAACCCCTGGTAGCCCCAAGTGGACACACATCTTTTTTTTTTCTTCTTGTATTCCATTAGTAAAGAGGAAGTTCCAATCAGAAAGTTTATTCTCCAGAGCTTCTGAGAGGATGCTTTCCCGATCATAACAAACTTATCTCTTCAAGCCTTATGTCAAACGTTATCTATACTATATTAATATGTGTGTTTTAATTCCACTCCTTGGGCCCTTACAACACCCTCATTCAGTAACCCTCTACCTTGAGTGGCTCTTGGCCTTGTATTGGTTGAAAAAGTTATATTTGCGTTTATATGGATCTACTAGGTTGGTGAGGGTAGCCGTTTATACTTAAGTTTATCTATATTTACTAAAGTTCGGAAATAATGTATGCATCGCTCATTTTCATTTGTCTTTGGGTGTAGCTACTTGTAGATGACCGCTTTTTGGAATATAGTCGGCCATCACCCCTTGCTAACACTGCAGATAGAAGCGACTAAGATAGATAGATAGATAGATAGATATTGAAGTGACTAAAATAGATAGATATTGGAGGGCTACGAAAGATAGATAGATATTGAAGCGACTAAGATCAGATAGATAGATAGATATTGAATCGATTGACATAGATAGATAGGTAGATACTGAAAAGAATGTGATAGATAGATAGATAGATAGATAGATAGATAGATATTGAAGTGACTAAAATAGATAAATATTGATGGGACTTAGATCGATAGATAGATAGATATTGAAAAGAATGTGATAGATAGATAGATAGATAGATAGTCAACAACGAGATAGATATATAGTTAGATAGATAGTGAAGACAATGAGATAGATAGATAGATATTGAAGTGACTAAAATAGATATTGAAGGGATTAAGAAAGATAGATAGATATTGAAGCGACTAAGATCGATAGATAGATAAAAAGATAGATATTGAATCGATTAAGATAGATAGATAGATATTGCTTGAAGCTTTTTCAGAATGTTACTGAAAGCTGACAGAAATAATAATAATAATAATAATAATAATAATGATAACAGATACTTATAGATAAATATATAGACAGATACTGAAGTGACTGAGATCGATACATAGAAAAATATTGATGTGACTGAAATAGATAAATAGTAAGATAGACAAACAGATATTGAAGCGTCTGAGATTTTTTTAATCTTGTGATGCCAACGAATACCCGTTGTCCCTTTTCATAATGCTCGTTGGAGTAGAGACTTTGTAATCGCAGATACAACTATAGTAACGCCGTTGAACAATACTGGTGTCTGACGCCTTCGAATGGCACTCGCACTCATAGTACTTGCTCGATAATACTCGCTGGAAAAGTAACCACCGAATAGCCATTCCAATAATGATCAGTATAGAGAAATAGCATAGTGAAGAGAATAGCAATCTATGTCGTAATAGAGGATAGAATAGAAATGATGATCACTTAGACGCCATGGTAATTCCCATATATACATTTCCCTTGCCATCAGGTAATCTACTTATTCAAAATGGGATCGCCCGTGTTTGCACTCTGGTGATCTGTTCAAATTCCTATGTAACACGGAATTACCTCATGAAAAGCAGTAATGCCACTAAAACACAAAAGGTTACAGGGTGTGGAAGAATTAGGAACAGAAACATTAATGATGAGATGAAAGAGGTGAAATTAATCAGGTACCCCCAAGCGGTCATTCAGCTTCCTTGTTTTTCGTATTCCATTAGTAAGGAGGAAGTTCCACTCAGAGAGTTTAGTCTCCGGACCTGTTAAAGATAGCGATTGAAATGGCATTAAAGTACGAGAGAAGGAACTGCTGACATAGAATTTACGGTGTCATCTAGCCAGCTCAACTGTAAATTGATGAGATTTTGACGCCAGTCTAGTATTGCGCTAAAAATTCAAAAACTCCATAGCGAAGAGCACGTTCGAACATTTACCTTGGACGTATTGATGGAAAAGACACAGAGAGGCCACCTTACGGCAGTGGGAAAGTGACTGGAGCCGAGTTGCCAGGTTAGGACGAATAATATTGCAGATTCTTCTTTTGGAGCTCCAGGTAAATAGCAGGGCCACTGAACCATATGTGGCAGCCATTTTCTAAGCATGGACGAATGGTAGACTTATAGTTATTTCAGATAAATTCCGGAGAGAAAAAAATGACTCGCCCGACACAGTAAACCGATTTTCTTAGCAGCTAAATATTAACAATGGAGTCAATATAGTCTTTTCACTTCATGTCAGTTGAGAACGTTAACCCAAGAAGGCGTAATGAGTCAATTTCTTGAAGGATAGCATCAGCTATACTGATGGAAGGCAGCGTGTGATCTCTCAGATTTTTAATGGAGAATATTGAAGTGACTGAGATAGATAGATAGATAGATAGATATTGAAGCTACTAAGATAGATAGATAAATAGATAGATAGATATTGAAGCTACTAAGATAGATCGATCGATCGATATATAAATATATATATATATATATATATATATATATATATATATAGATAGATAGATATTGAAGCTACTAAGATAGATAGATAGATAGATAGATAGATAGATAGATATTGAAGCTACTAAGATAGATAGAAAGATTGATCGATCGATAGATAGATAAATAGATAGATAGATATTGAAGCTACTAAGATAGATCGATCGATCGATCGATATATATATATATATATATATATAGATATTGAAGCTACTAAGATAGATAGATAGATAGATACATAGATATTGAAGCTACTAAGATAGATAGAAAGATTGATCAATCGATAGATAGATAAATAGATAGATAGATAGATATTGAAGCTACTAGGATAGATAGATCGATCGATCGATCGATCGATAGATAGATAGATAGATATTGAAGCTACTAAGATAGATAGATAGATATTGAAGCTACTGAGGTAGAGAGATAGATATTGAAGCTATTAAGATAGATCGATAGATCGATCGATCGATAGTTAGATAGATATTGAAGCTACTAAGATAGATAGATCGATCGATAGATATTGAAGCGACTAAGGTAGATAGTTATTGAAGTGGCAAAGATAGATAGATAGATAAATAGATAGATATTGAAGCAACTAAGATAGATAGATAGATAGATAGATAGATAGATAGATAGATAGATAGATAGATAGATATTTAAGCAACTAAGATAGTGATGTAATGAATATGGATACACCTGTGTTCCCCCTCACAGGAATATGATTGGCTGGAGTCAGCCATAAATACAGGTAGAGGTAGAGGTACAGGACGCCTATTGACGACGCCCATTGGACTACGCCATTGGCTATCCTACTGGTCTACGCCTATTGCCTACACCTATTGACTACGACTACGACGAGTACCAGTCGATTACGGCTACCTGCTAGATTGTTCTACTCGGGTACAGTAGCTTAAACCACTTAGCTACTTCGATCAAATATATCCTTTTCCGGGACATGTCAGATACATAGATAGATAAATAGATAGATAGATAGATAGACATTGAAGCGACTAAGATAGATAGATAGATAGATAGAGAGATAGATAGATAGATAGATATTGAAGTGACAAAGATAGATAGATATTGAAGCGACTAAGATAGATAGATAGATAGATAGATAGAGAGATAGATAGATAGATAGATATTGAAGTGACAAAGATAGATAGATATTGAAGCGACTAAGATAGATAGATAGATAGATAGATATTGAAGTGACAAAGATAGATAGACAGATATTGAAGTGACAAAGATAGATAGATAGATATTGAAGTGACAAAGATAGATAGATATTGAAGCCACTAAGATAGATAGATAGATAGATAGATAGATAGATAGATAGATTAATTAATTAATAATATATATATATATATATATATATATATATATATACAAGGATTCAAAATGAGTAGAATAATTATCGAAAAAACACGAGAGACAATGAGAGTGAGAGAAAAAGAGAGAGAGAAAAAGAGAGAGAGATAGAGAGAGAGAGACTGGGTTATTATGTCTGAGAGAATGTCTGTGTATGTCGGAGAGTAGTAGAATTGTGTGGATGTGAGTATGACTGAGTTTGTATGACAGGTAGCGTTTGTTAATCACTTTTTGTAAAGCAATGTCAGTGTGACATAAAAAGAGGATGTGCGTTTGTGAGTGTGTGCGATGTGTGTGTGTGTGTGTGAAACAGTGTGTGTTTGAATGTGAGAGGCAAAATATCTTTGAGAGAGAGAGAGAGAGAGAGAGAGAGTACTAGTCTCAGAGAGTGTGTGTATACGTGTGAGAGCGTAGATGTGATAGGATGTGTGTGCGTGTGTGTGTGTATGGATATGAGGAACAACGTGTCAATGTGTTAGACTGCGTGTTACAGAGTACACTTTGTGTATATCCCTGTGGCGGGGGTGAGGTCGTGAGTATGAGAGAATGTAACAGGGAGGGAGATGTGTGCGTGAGAAAGAAAGAAAGAAAGAAAGAGAGAAAGAAAGCCAAAGAAAGAAGAAAAGGAAAAGGAAACGAAAAAAGAATGAAAGTAAAAAGATAAAGATAAAGAAAAGAAGAAAAGAAAAGAAAAGAAAGAACGAAAGAAAAAGAAAGAAAGAAAGAAAGAAAGAAATGAAGAAAGAAAGAAAACGAATGAAATGAAAATAAAAGAAAAAATAGAAAGGAAAGAAAAAATAAAAAAATAAAAAGTGACATAAAAAAGAAAGAACAAAAGGAAAAAAGAAAGAAAGAAGAGAACGTACGAAAAAAGAAGCAAAATAAAGAAAGAAAGAAATAAAGAAAGAAAGAAGTAGAAGGCCAAAAAGAAAGAAAGAGGAAAGACCAGAAAGGATAAGATTAAAAGAAAGAAAGAAATGAAGAAAGAAAGAAAGAAAGAAAGAAATGAAGAAAGAAAGAAAGAAATTAAGAAAGAAAGAAAGAAAGAAATAAAGAAAGAAAGAAGGAGAAGGTCAAGAAGAATGAAAGAGGAAAGACCAGAAAGGATAAGATTAAAAGAAAGAAAGAAATGAAGAAAGAAAGAAGAAAGAAAGAAAAGAAATGAAGAAAGAAAGAAAAAGAAATTAAGAAAGAAAAGAAACAAAGAAACAAAGAAAGAAAGAAGGAGAAGGTCAAGAAGAATGAAAGAGGAAAGACCAGAAAGGATAAGATTAAAAGAAAAAGAAAAAAGAAATGAAGAAAGAAAGAAAGAAAGAAAAAAAAAGAAAGAAAGAAACGAAGAAAGAAAGAAATGAAGAAAGAAAGAAAGAAAGAAATGAAGAAAGAAAGAAAGAAATGAAGAAAGAAAGAAAGAAATTAAGAAAGAAAGAAAGAAAGAAATAAAGAAAGAAAGAAGGAGAAGGTCAAGAAGAATGAAAGAGGAAAGACCAGAAAGGATAAGATTAAAAGAAAGAAAGAAATGAAGAAAGAAAGAAAGAAAGAAAGAAATTAAGAAAGAAAGAAACGAAGAAAGAAAGAAATGAAGAAAGAAAGAAAGAAAGAAATGAAGAAAGAAAGAAAGAAAGAAAGAAAGAAAGAAACGAAGAAAGAAAGAAATGAAGAAAGAAAGAAAGAAGGAGAAGGTCAAGAAGAGTGAAAGAGGAAAGACCAGAAAGGATGAGAATAAAAGAAAAAAAGAAAAAAGAAAGAAAGAAAAAGAACGAAATGAAAATGAAAGAAAAAAATAAAAAGGAAGAAGGAAAGAAAAAAGAAAAACAAAAAGTGAAATAAAAAGAAATAACAAAAGGAAAAGAAAAAAAGAAAGAAAAAGACAACGAACAAAAATGAAGCAAAAGAAAGAAAGAAAGAAAGAAAGAAAAAGAAAAAAGAAAGAAAGAAAAAGAAAAAGGAAGAAAGAACGATAAAGAAATAAATAAAGAAATAAAAAAGGGAATAGAGATATTGTCGTTGCTTGTAGTAGAAGAAATCATTTTTCTTAAAAAGACAAATAATTAAATATATATATATATATATATATATATATATATATATATATATATATATATATATATATATATATATATATATATATATATAATATATATATATATATAAAAGACTATAAAATTCCGCATAACAAAAAACTCGATGATTATTTTGTCAAATTGCAATCATTTTTCAAAGACTAGAAAAAAAAAGCTGAGAGAAAATTTCACAAATCATTTCTTCTATAAATGAAAACTTTTTACCTAAGAAATCATAAAATTGTAAAAAAAAAAAAAAGAAGCCAGGCCGAAAACGGAACGCCGTTACATTGTAATTTGTTCTGAAGTTTTCTTTATACAGAAGAGGAATATAACGTTTTCATTGTTCACTTCACATCTGCATAAATCCCTTTTTACCGGAATGGGATCACCGTATGTCTCCATTTATTTAATAAATCAAACGGCACTTGACACTGTCGATCAGCCGATCATGTGGTGAAAAATTCGCGTTTGTTTATTTCCTCACTGAAAATATCTCCAATTCCCCGATAAAAAAAAGGCAAGATGACATATAATCTGTCTCCAGAAGCTGTGACAGGAATTAAGGCATTTTGTAAAATGGCTGCTACCTGGATTAGCAATTAACATTGCAACACTCGGAATATATTCTTCGGTGTAATGAAAAGATTAAACACAAAAGAAGTTTATGGCACGAAATGATCATATCGACATGTTAGCTGAGCTTAGTGAATTTAACAACACATCGGCCATTGTTGGTTATTAAATGTCGAATACGATGCAGAAATTACTAGGCATGAAACCAGTCTGTAAGTAGATAAATAAAATAATGTGTTATTTTATGCGCACACACACGCACACACACAAGCACACGCACACGCACACATTGGTGAGTGTGTGTTGCAGGATGTATACTAGTAGAGGTAGTAGAGATTTTTCGAGGAAATGAGGAAAAATGTTTGGAGATGTGGGGGCGATAGAGACCTTACCCACATTTAATGTCCTATTACAGAGCCACCAGTAATCGGGAGAGCAAAATATAGATATTGAAGCGACTGAGATAGATACATAGATAGATAGATAGATAGATAGATAGATAGATAGATAGATAGATAGATTACGTAATGTGATTGATCCCGAACAAAATGACATAGATAGATAGATAGATAGATAGATAGATAGATAGATAGAAAAGAGAGAAGCAGAATGAGAAAGATAGAGAGATATCGAAGCTACTTATATATATATATATATATATATATAGATTGATAGATAGATATCGAATCTACTTAGATCGATAAAAGCAGAATGAGATGGATATATAGAAAATGACTTCTTAGATAGATAGATAGATAGATAGATAGATATTGAAGCGACTTAGATAGACAGATAGATAGACAGACAGACAGATAGACAGACAGACAGACGGATGGGCAGATATCGAAGCGAGTGGAATAAATTCACAGATATATAGACTGTCGCTGAAATGGCGCATTGAAGTCAAGAAGAAATCATCATGAAGCCTACCTTAATTATGCTTTTGTAGTACCCACTGATGTATAATACGCTAAAGATAAAGATATCTCCTGTGTATAATACGCAGTTATTTATTCATCTTTTTAGATTCGTAGTAGCAAAATTTAACATTTGTTCAAATATCTAACTGGTTCTTGCCATATTTAGAAAGGTTATAGCCTTTACATTTCGTCTCGTCATCACCAATTTTCTTTAAGAAGATATGATTAAAAATACTTTAGTGGTTAAAAAAATTATTCAGTATTATTTTTGTTTACGTAATAAACATTATAATATTGCACAGTTAGCGATTTTGTGAGAAAAGGAATTTTCGACCATATCTTCATTAACGATCTTCCGGACGCCATTGATTCCCAAGTAGGCATCTATGCTGACGTCACTACAATTTACTCCTGCCTCAAAAACAAATCTAGTGTCATTGACAAAACTAACCTGACCGTTCGTCTCGAAAAGGACCTCCAATCGGTTGTTAATTGGGGCAGGAATTGGCTGGTTAACTTTAATGCCCCCAAAACAAAACTGCTCTCTATTAATCACCACAGAGATCCTTCCCTGCCCTCTATTAGAATGTCTGACGCTCAACTTCTCAAGAGCACCTCTCCGCGGCTGCTCGGTCTCACGTTGACTGCTGACCTGAGATGGAACAAATACATTGAGTCAATTGCTTCGTCCACCGCAAGGAAAGTTGGCTCCCTGTGCCGCGCTAGGAAATTTTTCTCCCCGGAATCGATCCTCCAGATCTACAAATCAACATTCGCCCTTGCATGGAGTATTGCTACCATATATGGTCTGGAGCCCCTTCTGTTTGCCTCGGGGTTCTTGATAAGATCCAGAGACGGATATGTAATATAATTGGCCCGGATCTGGCATCTCGTCTACAGTTGCTCTCTCACAGACGTGCCGTCGCCTCTCTATGTCTTTTTTAAAAATACTTTCACGGTAACTGCTCCGAGGAGCTGCATTCGCTGGTTCCCAGACTTCATGAGTTCAAGCGCCCTACGAGGCTGGCATCCCGCTCTCACCCTTTCACTGTTGAAACTGTTAAATGTAGCCGTCTCTTCTACTCCAATAGCCTCATGTCTCGCACCTCTCGCCTGTGGAACTCCCTTCCCTATTCGAGTTTCCCTGAGAGATATACTCTCCAACTATTCAAATGTAATGTCAATCGACATCTCCAGTGGCCTTGATCTATCCACTATCGTTCTCCTCATCCTTTCCTCTATCACTCCTATCTGATCTTGCTCCAACTTGCTGTAACCCCTTGCGTCCTAGTGGCTTCCAGCCTTGCTTGGGGTGAAATGCTTAAAAAATAAAAAAATACGCATTTTTCTTACGTATTTATGTTTATTTTTAAATTTTTATCAAGAACAACATTCTTGTACATGTAATTATGGATAATATTATACATTAATTACTAATTTTTTTAATTAATAACTATTTGTGCTCAGATGTTGATATCAATAGCTGTCTGCTGATGTGTTAAAATTATTGAATAATGCAATGATAAAAATTAAAATTTCATCTCTCTGATAAAATGACACGATCTGTAAGTTGAAATTATGGCGAGTTGTGTTAAGGTGAATTACCTGTGCGTTTAAAGTCTTATTATATATAATAATAACAATAATAATAATAATAATCCAGACCTGGTTACGGAGATAGGACCTGTTACAATTCTATGGGATTACACAATACACACTGACAGAACAATCAAAGCCAACCGCCCAGATATTGTTATTAAAGACCACAAACAAAAAAAAGTGCCTCCTTATTGATATGGCAGTCCCTGAAGACTGCAATGTATCTTTGAAGATATTCAAAAAGCTGTCAAAATACAAGGACCTTGAAATAGAAATGTCGAAAATGTGGCATATGGGAACATCAACAATCCCTGTTGTAGTTGGAGCCCTAGGACTGGTTGGAAAAGATTGCAGTAGACTAATTGAAGGGATTCCTGGAAGTCCATGCCTCAGGGAGATACAAAAAATGTCCTGACAAGTACAGCCCACACTTTATGAAGGGCTTTATCTATGTAATTTCTTTTTTTTTTTTTTTTTTTTTTTTTTTTTTAGTGGAAAGTGTCATGACGCCATTTCTAACCTTAGGTCCCTGGGCGGGACCCGGAAAGAAATGTGTAAACGCCAGAAATCAAAGAAAATAATAATAATAATAATAATTGTGATAATCATGATAATAATAAGGATAATGTTAATAATAATAATGCAGAAAAATGCCATTAAAAATTGGCCTGACAAGTAAAGCCCACACCTTACGAGTTAAATTGGATAGACGGAACTGTTCGGAGTGCTTGTAGTTCTATGAAGTGACTGAGACTGAGGATGTTATTAGAAGAAGGCATAGCCACTTGGAAGTTAGACTGAGGCTGGCTAGAGGCTCACCGAAGATTTGTCTCCGTTAATTTCTTTGCGAGCAATCCTAACCTCTAGCCATTTTCCCAACAAAAGCATCTGCCTTAAAAATGGGAAAAAGTTGAACTCTTTTGGAGAAACTTTTCTTTTATAACCAAAAAAAAAAAAAAAAAAAAAAAAAATGAAGTTTGGTCTAATCACTGTTGACAGCGTAATTAACAAACATTGCTGGATGTGATTTGTTTCTAATTTAGTCGTTGGAGTTGACAAAATATTGATGTTTCCTGTCACTGAAGCAAAAGATGTTTACACGTATGATCTTCCTTAGGGAAAATCGCTAATGGTTTAACATGCTGACAACGTTACCTTTAATGAAATGTTACAAAATCCAGAAACATTGTACTTAATCATTGTTAATGTATGTGGTTATACATGAGAGTGAACAAGCGAGAACGAAAAGAAACAAATGATTTTAGTAAACGTTATTTCCTTCATGAGTTTATTCGTACCATTCAAAAAGCCATTCGGGCCCCATATGGCCCGCAAGTCGTAGTTTGCGCATGCCTCGTGTAGTGTTGTTATGCAGCATATCTTTGCGATTTATTCTTATATAGTCTTCATGTTATTGGATATCGGTTGAGGAAAGACTTTTAGCCTTACATCCGCTGCATCAGAGTGTGAGCGGAAATCGGAATTGATGATAGCATAATCAGGAAATGTAACCCGGTGGATAAAATAAACAGGACGTACGGGTGTACTGAACCTTGAATAAACAGCTGTCGTGAGCGGAAGCAAATGTCTGCTTGCGTGGGCGCATGCCGGAAGAGGCGTTGCCACGTGAAGTTGCGTAGGTCTTCAAGTGTTATATAACCGGTCCGATTCTTGATCTGGACTGAGGGTCTGGCTAGAGATTCACCGAAGATTTGTCTCCATCAATTCCTGTGTGCGCAATCCTAACCTCTGTGATTTTCCCCCACTTTATCTGTTATGGTCCAGGTTAGGACCAAGGAAGAACAACACGAACACAAGAGTAGAAAGGTATATTACACGAAATAATAATACAATATGTGGAAGGTGTTAGTATAACTGTCAGTCTGGTTTGGAGTGAACTACTATCGGCTCGACTCGATTCGACCTTCTCTCTTGAGAGGCGTAGTATACATAGCGTTAGGAAGAGTTCATTCTGTAGTTATAGGTAAGGAACTGTGACACCCCCCTCCAAAGCTTTTAATTCGCAGGGGTCTTTAATATTTTTTCCTCTTCGGAGTAATCATCAAAGGCTCTGTAAATTTTCTTTTTCTGCTTGATTTCCGCGGTTCTAAAATTGCTTGAGGCCTTTGCATATTGAATGTATCAAATACTGTATCCATTACGTCCTCCTCTTCCTGAGGTAGACCGTTAGAATCCTCTAACACTATCCATTCGCCACAACTTGAACAATCAATATATATATATATATATATATATATATATATACACACTGCGTGCCAAATTATTATCGAGATAACTTTTTTTCTAATATTTCAAAAACCATACAATCAATTCACACAAAATTTTCACAGAATATTGGCAACACTGACCTGCGCAATCGCTGAAATTTTTGTACTTATCTGCGCAATGTAAACAAACTGGCGCCATATTTGTTATCAGCATTTGTTACAAAATGTTCGTCGTCTTATTTGAGTGTAGAAGTCGGATTCAAATCTCATCATTTTGGATTTGTTAGGAAGGTGACTCCTTGATGTTATTGGTCTGAAAAAGCAATCCCAGGGCGCCGTATTTTGGAAGATGTCAGCAAACCATAGCAGGCGTTGACTCAGATCTTGTGATTTAAATTGGATAGACGGGACTCTTCGGAGGCCGTCGATGGTTGTGGTATTGTGAAGTTACCGTCACCAAGGGCTTGGGCATACTGGCGTTGTTCTCTCATAAACTATGTCTAAGGTTTATTCAGTATAGGTGCAGTATAAACCACTGGTGGGTTCTGTGGGATCTGAACAAAGAGCTATGGCATTGATTAGATAGCCGCCATCGTAGATGGATTTGCTCGAGAGTAACCGGCCATTTTATATGTGTTAGAAATGCCCTTAAAAGAAATCATGGCACTTATCAGAATCGAGATATCTATGGCCAGAATAACAAATTCCTATACTACTCCTACAACTTGAATTAACGTATTTGACAGCATATAAGACGCGCGGATGTATAAGACGCACCCCAGTTTCAGCAAGAAAAATCAAGAAAAAATAGCAATTAGTAAAATTAGTAAAATTATTAGTAAACGATACAACCTAGGCTATATTTATGAGGTATTATTTTGGTTAAACAATCCATGATTACAATTAAACGAAATATAATAGGAAAAAAAGAACATGAGCCTATAAAAACTTTATTATATCCAAAGGTAATAAAATAAAATAAAAATAAAGCAATTATGACGATTGAACAAAACAGTACAGTTGCCATTAGAATTCAGTCAAAAATCTTCCTTTATATGATTTGTACAACCCGCCTCTTGTAAACATCTTGTTGGAATAGTTATTTATTTGTACTAATGTACAAAATGTGGCACAAGGCCAAAAAGGGGGTT